GCGCGTCCCAGCGCCTATAAGAGTTAGGTCGACATCAGCCTTGATGTCGTCTATTACGGGAGCAACTGCACTGGGGAAAGGTTAGGAATTTCAATGGGAGCGAGACTCGAATGGAACATGAGCCGTTGGGGAAAATGTCCCCGGCGATCTGCTTGAGGCGGGGCGGGAATTTTCCTCGGTGTGTAAAGAATGCGCGGCCACGACGCTCATGGAAATGAAGACCAACAGCACCCGTGCTGAGAGTCAGGAGCGATCACACACAGCCAGAGCCCCCAGTCGGGGACGTTTTACGAAGAAAGGCCTGCAGGCGCCAGGAGAGAGGGAGCAGGTGTGGATTCAAGACCTGAGGGTCAGTGGGGTGGGGACCCGATGCCACCACACCTGGCGCAGGGGGCCTGGGCCTTTCCAGGAGAACGGTGCTCGCGAAGAGGGTTCTCTGTGGTTACTACGAGTGACCGCGATGCCGTTGCCGTCAGTGTGTCTGTGTGTGTTAGACACACAGACAAACAGCGGTTCTCCACCTGTGGCTCGCCTTCCACAGGCGTCGGCTGATTCATCACAGGAGCAACAGGACAGTGATGAAGTAGCAACGAAAATCATGTTATGGTTGGGGGTCACCACCACATGAGGACCTGTATGACAGGGTCGCAGCATGAGGAAGGCTGAGAACCACTGGACTGGACAGTGAAAGCAATGTAGAGGGTTAGAATGGATGGGATCTTCACCCTAGTAGCCTTGTGACTACCGAGAATCTGGAAACGGTTTCTGAGGCAACCTGTGGATAGCCACGGGGTGTGTGTGTGTGTGTGTGTGTGTGTGTGTGTGTGTGTGTGACTAGATCCATCTGCTGAGTGAAGGGTTTAGAGAAGGCTATTGATGGTTGAGCAGAAATGATAAATCGAGTGTGTGGGGGGACGGTGTCTTAGGCAGATGGAATAACACTGCCAAGGCCATGTGGGGATGGAGGCCAAAAACCTGGCACACTTCAGGAACTGGAGGAAGACAGGGATGGATGGGACCCCGAGAGAGGAAGAGGGCGGCCAGGAGGTTGAGTCTTGGGGTGTGGGCCTCCACTTTGGGAGGCTGGCTGTGTGGGGCCTTTGGGGCTCCCTACACAGGAGCAACGGGGACCCCCACCTGGGTTCTAAGCAGCAGAAGGCAGCAGTAGGCGGGTGGAGAAAGACCGAGCAGAGCAAGGATGGGCTGGTGAGAGGGTGGACCTGTGGAGGCGCTGGCCGGGAGAATCTTTTAGAAGGAGGATGAACAAGGCCAGAAGACCGAGGGCTTCGATCCGTGGGGTACTGGCAGGAGCACAGACAAGCCAGTGGGCAGAAGGGGCTTCCTTTCTGCCCCAGTGCCCTCCCGGGGGTGTTCCACCAGCATCTACTCCTTCCGCCCTTCTCTTCCCGCCGCTGCTGCCACCAACCAGTGGGTGCTGACCCACGGCAGCCCCCTGTGCACAGGCAGAACGG